GATATATTAAGTGGATCTATCATTTTTGAAGATAAATTAGACTCTTTTGAAATTAAGAACATTTTTATCGACCGAAGAAGTTCGTCAATCTTGGCGGTGGACAATTCGCTGAATGTCAAGGTGGTGCCCATTCCGGGGGGAGGCGTAGGTAGCGGCACAGAGGATGATCTATTTTTTTACCGCATAAATGCGTCGAGGAACTTCATTGAAGGCTTCAAACTGAGCAGCTCACCCCGCAAAAAGGGACCCAGGAACGAAATAGGGTTAATACGAACATACTCCATAAATCTGCACAATGAAAAACTGGAGGTTTTTTCCAAGTCGATAACAAAGAAGGACACCTTTTACCCAATCAAAATAAATAAAGACGCGTCTATATGCTACAAGTACGTGAGTGATAACATCATATCTTATATAACAAGCACAGACCAGAGGGAAGGCATCATATATACGCTGTACATCATTGATGGAATTACTGGAGATCTTATTATTTCGAAAATGTTGGACAAGCACACGAACCCACCTTTCCATTTAATGATAAATGAAAATTTTGTCATTCTGAATTATTTTAATGCAAACTTGAAAAAATATATAATTCAGGTCATTGAAATATTGCTGGATAAGAAGGATCCTGGTTTTTTCAACTTGATAACTTCGAAAAAAGAAAAAATTGTTGATTTATTCGACCAGAAAAAGAAAATCGTCATAAATGAGAAAAATTACATCATTGATCATAACGTTAAATCTTTTAATTTTACCGAAACGAAGAGAGGAATAACGAATAAACATATTTTGCTACTTCTTGATTCGAACAAAATAACTTCCCTAAATTTATGGTCCGAAAAAGATCAAAAGGTGTACAAAAATTTGAACACGTTTATTACACAAACGGATATTTTATACAATTCTAGGGGGTTCATATGTAATGAGAGTCTGCTAGAATCTACTACGCTCGTATTTTCGTGGGGAAACTATCTCTATTTCACTTGTTATCAGCCGAACGGATCATTTGACACTATTGAAAATTTCAATTTACTTCTTCTTCTGTTTTTAATCATTTTGGTGTTTATTGGTACGTACATATCTTACATAAGGAGGATAAACAAAACTGTCTATTCCAAGTGGGCCTGAGTTGCGGCCACGCCGATGGGGGGAGACGAAGTGACTGCCCTCGTCCCTTCATAAATGTTGTCCCACGTGGGGACACAGAGGTGGATATACTTATGCGTAGTGAAGCAGTACAACTTCGACATGATGGGAAACTTCCAATTTTTTTTGAAAAAAATTGCCAGTTTTTTCCCCATCCCATAATTGTTTTTTTTTTTTTTTAAAAAAAAATAGTGAACGCGCCATTTATTTATATATATTTATTTATTTAATTTTTTGTCGAATTTACATTTAGATGAATTTTTTTTAAAAGAATGAAAGAAAAAAAAAGCATGTCACTTAAAGCTCCATTTTTTAATTAAGAAAGTGTTTTTTTTCTCTCTTTTTTTTTCTTTCTTTTCTGCTTCCTTTTTTATGCATCCTTATAAAAGCACTGTGCATATACATATATATATGTGTGCACGTTTCACTCCTCTGAGAACGGGAAGAGCTAAAATCATTTTAATGTTCCTTTCCCTTCATATGGACTTTTGGATGGGCTGCAGCTGCAGAGTCACCCATATATGTCAGCATAATAACAGAGTATTCGTTAGTTTGTATATTTATAAAACAGCAAACATTTTTCTTTTTACACCTATTTTATAAGTACATACTACGTTTCAAATTGGAAGGTAGCAGACACGCTGGTGAAAAATGCCAACAGAGCCTCTTGTGAAAACATAGCTTTCTTCTTTAAGAGGATAGTGGGTAGGTGGAAAAAGGCTCCCGTTTTTTTTCAGGCATTATTTTGTGACGCGTTACCGGTTTTAGCCCTTCCTAGGTGTGACTACAATGGGTGATTATTTTTTTGGAGAATTTAATCGAGCCAGTAGGTCACAGCCACCCGCTCACGTGTGATTGCATTTGACTTCCTTCAGTAGTACCCTGCATATCTGAACTTTTTTAACGTCCTAATGTGATCAAAGGGGGGAAAACTCCCGTAATGGACGCGGGGTAGACAGAATTAAGCTGTTCGGCGGCTGCCAATACGAAATGGGTTATTTTTCATTATTAGTCAATGACTAAGTTAAAACCCCCATCATTCTGTTTCATAACTGTACAGGTACATCTACACCTTTAAATGTGTAATAAACGGAAAATATACCTCCGCTTTGGTTAATTTGAAAAAAAAACTGAACAATTTCACCGGTGTGAAATATAAAGGAAGTTTCTCCATCCTGCCGATTTGACCTACTGCTAGCGCTCTACATTTTTATACGTATTCTACCAGTTGGAAGTCATGTATGATACGCGAATAGTTCTTTTTTTGGAGAGGGCAAAAGAGCTTCTTCCCCATCTGTACTTGTGAACCTAAGTCTACTTGGTCATATTACAACCAAATGCGTGTTCGGGTCACGCAACACAATTATATGTAAAAAGAATAATTGTGTGTTAACGGTGTGCTTACTTGTATGCATATAATACTTAGACGTGCAAATGACTCTGACATAAAATAACAGAAATTTCCATGGAGATACTACGCTACAGGGTACACCGGCGAGGCGTAATGTTTATGTTTATGTTTTTCCCTTTAGGCGCTGCTCGCTCGTTTGAGCATTACTTTATTTCCACCCAATTTTGCACGTTTCCGCGTTTCCCTTCCTTTTAACAATTTCTTTAAGTCATTTGCCACCATGGGATGGAAGGAAAAAAAAAGAAGTACCAAATTGGGTGTACCCTTGAAGAACTCCATTATAGCGTAGAATGAGGAAGGCGGGGGGGAAACTTACTTACATTGTGGGTAATCAACACCAGCAAATAAGTACATATAGCTGAATTGTTTAATACGCATTTACCAAAAAAAAAAAAAGCGTTTGGGAAGATTCGCTTTTTTGAAGGGAACATAACCTTTCACATAAGAACGCACAAACATGCTATTATATGTATAGCGTATAATATAAATAACCTTTTTCCTTTTTCCATTATTTCCTGCCACTAAAATGGAAAGATGCGCATTTAATTCTTTGCATTACGAATGAACTGGAACAATAGCGTTTTTCTTTGACTATAAGTGGGGGGTACTACACTTTTTTCATTCATTTTTTTTTTTTCTATAAACATGACCTTGTAATTAAAACACTTACGCATTCTTGTAATAAAAAAAAGGAAAAGATGATAAGAAACAAAATTGTGAAGTGGTGAAGCGAAAAAAAAAGGAAAACGGGCTAAATGGCCGCTGACGCATGTAAATTTTCTCACATAACATGATATACCTAAAAGTCTTCTTTTAAAGGATTAAAGAGAACGTTATATACGATGTGTTTATATTCCTTATGTGTTTTCTTCTACATTTAAAAAATGACAAAATGTTTTTATTTATACCACATTCACCAAAGGGATAAAAAAAAAGAGGAAGCTAAAACGAGAAAAGCTGTAAATTAAGAATGCAGGGGTAAAAAAAAAAAAATTAAGGGACACTTTTCAGTTCATGAACGAGTGGAAGAAACGGTAAGCAGGCAATATGGCATGTAAAATATATATATAATATATTACATATGTTAACATTGCGCAGGTATAGGATGAGAAAAACTGCATCACAGGTGTAAATATTGCTTTTCAAACATGAGCATATTATATACGTACAATATAATATATATGTCGTAAATACACGCTCATTTAAATATATATATACGCTATATCCCCCGCCCCTTTTCAATCCCCGGAAGAAGATACGCTACATGCTTACTCGACAATTCTATTATTATATATACGTATCCATTTTTAACCATTTTGCAATAAAGCAAAACCCGCCAACCCTGCATAACCTAAACCCGTGTTTAACCCCTTTTTTTTTTCCAAACCTTTTGGTCAATTTTTTATCCATTTTTTATACATATTTTTTTCCTACTTCAAAGGGAGAAAAAAAAAGAAATTTTGTATTTGCCTGCCATTCTTTTTTCTTACAAGTATATATATTTTTCTTGCATGAGAAAATGTTATAATAAAGAGAAATAGTCATTAGAATGAAAGAGATATTTCTTCATAATTTTTATGTGGGTTGAAAAATACCATTATATATGCAATTTCATCGCAAAGCTATGCCAAAAACATGAGGTGAAAAAAAGTTATGTGAATGGAACAAAGATATATATGTACCTATGGAATATGCCAGTAAAAATATACTCCTTCCGTGACAATTGGCTCCTTTCAAATGTATGCCTTTTTACTTTGCGTTTTGTGAAGCTGTGAAGTGTTCCTTCCTATGTACGGCTCACGGTATATACTTATACCTGTATGCTTAACAAGTCATACATACATGTATATATATGTTCCGTACACAAACACGCGTCGTGCTAAGTGATACATTTGCATCGTTCATGTGAGGGAACATATTAGCCTAACGGAAAAGCCATTGTTTTTTAGCCCGCACTGCCTATATATATATGGGTGTATGCACATGCGCATGTACCATATGAGTATATATGTGCACATATCCATATGCGCAACTCATGTGCGTGTAAGGATATGCATATATAAATATATATATATACGTGCGAAGCCCGAATAGCCCCCTCGATGAAAATCATCTTTAGGGTATTTTTTCCACCTAACGTGAACCAGAAAAAAAATTTGAAAAACAAGTCAGTTGTTTTGAGAAAAGCAGCATTGGATTTTTTAAAAGCACCGCGAAAAGCAAAGCAAAGAAAAATGATTCATAATGTACCATAGTAATCACTGGTTTTTGCGAAGTGCGACCAAGAGGTGTACACAAGTATACACGTGGGTGTGCGCTGCGCGGATGCGTACATATGCGTATATATACTTAAGTATATTTACATATATTTATATATACCTATCTATAAATTCATCCTTGTACGGATGTTCCTATGTGCACATGTACGTGTTGCCCGTGAGCGTACCCCCACAACGCCTGTGCCACTCTTGACGCACTTTCACATGTGCACCCCCATGTGTTGCCCCTCCATGTGCTTACGCATGTACGTGTAGGTATAGAGCACATATGCTTCAGCGTACCTTGTTCCATGTTTACCACATATACGCTCACCACAGAGCAGTTCCTTTTTTTTATTCGTGTGATCGTTTGTTTATTATTTCCCAATAGGATGTTTTTGCTACCAACGAGCATTATGTTGGCATTTTAAAATATTCTATTTTTGAAAATTAAAACTGTTCACCTGTGCCTTGTTTCGTTATGCATACGCCTATGCGCTCAAGTGTGAGCAAGTATGCATAAAGAAGTGCTGACATGCGTATAAATGCGTCTGAATGCCTGTACAAATGAGTAAGCATCCGTGAATTCACATGTGGATATCTGTTCTCTGCATATGCGTAAATGTAGAGGAAATATTTTGAAGATTTTTACATTTTTGTTTTTATTTTTTTTGTAAATTAAGGAATTACATATCAGCCTTTTTTTTTAGAGTGAGGGGAAAACCATTTTCATTGTATTTTTATGTGCACAATTTTTGGATAAGCGAAAGAAAAAAAGTGAAAAGATAAAATATTAAATGTTAAATCCTTTGATTGTTTTTCATATTGTGAATTTTTTATACCAAGTAAGAGTCATAAGGAAGGACAAAACAACAAAGCAGCAAAACAACAACAACAACGACAACAGCTGTGATAGTAGCTTCGACTGTGATAGCACCTGTGAGCGTGACCTTGCCGAGGGCGCGCGTTTTCGTAAAAAGCACAAACATTTTTTTCTCGCCAAACGATTGTGAACATAGGAGCTGTGTTTCGCACTCAACCAGCAGGGGCCGTCGTGTATGTTGCGCGCGCATGAGTCATCTACGCTAATGCGCCCCCTGCCTTGGTGTGCATATATATACATGCAAACATATGTGTACGTATTCGAAGATTCACGCAAGTACATATTCTCAGGTGCATATGCATACGTGCACTCACAGAAGAAAATCTTCACACGAAAGTAAACCCTTAAACATAATAGTACACGTTCCCGTACATACACTTGTAGACGTACTTACCCAGCAACACCTTCGGACGCCCTCACGCCCAGGAGTGCTTAAGTGGGCATACGTATGCATAAACATGTATGCGAACGCACGCACGCAGATATACATGAAAAAACGATTGACGGTAGTGGTGATTGCTTTAAACGTATTTGAACTTGGTTGAAAGTGCACATGTATATGGTATGTACAAAAAGGGGAAGCAGCAATAGAGACAGTAACGGTAGCCGTAACTGAAGCCTAACTGAAGCCTAACTGAAGCCGTAACTGCACCCGTAACCGCACGAACAACTGCAGCCACGGAAGCAGCCACGGAAGCAGCCACGGAAGCTGCGAACACCTATCGCATAGCGGAAGTAGCCAACCAAACTAGGACCAACGAGAGAAAGAGGGATTCCCCTGCAAGGTTAAATGCATCCTAAGATAAAAGATTCACATGTCATACATGGATGAGAGAACGAAAATCGTAGACGTATGGGCAAATAATCTAGAGGAGGAATTTGAACGAATCAGGGATGTAGTCGAAAATCATCCCTATGTTGCTATCGACACAGAATTTCCTGGAATTGTTGCTAGGCCAACAGGAAATGTAATAGATTATAATTACCAAACAATAAAATGCAATGTAGATTTGTTGAAGGTTATACAATTAGGAGTTACCTTTTCTAATGGGAAAGGGGAGCTACCGAAGGTGTCAACATGGCAGTTCAATTTTAAGTTTGATCTAGAAAGTGATATGTATGCTCAGAATTCTATAGACTTCCTAAAGGTGAGTGGAATAAATTTTGAAAAACATCAATCGTTAGGAATCGAGTTGTTGCATTTTGGGGAAGTTATTATGTCCTCAGGTCTTGTCATGAATGAAGACGTCAAATGGATATCTTTTCATGGTTGCTATGATTTTGCCTATCTGTTAAAAATACTAACTTGCTGTGCTTTACCTCATAATGAAATTGCCTTTTTTGATTTACTGAACGATTTTTTTCCATCCCTGTACGATATAAAGTATTTGCTGCTAAATTTGAACATCAAGCAATTAAGTAGGACCTACTCGTTGCAAAAAATTAGCGAAATTTTAAGTGTGAAGAGGATAGGAAGACAGCACCAGGCTGGTTCGGACTCCCTCGTGACGTGTAAAACTTTTTTCAAATTGCTAGAACTGTATTTCGATAACAAAATAGATGACAAGAAGTATTCAGGCATTATATACGGCTTGGGGTCCACTATAAAGAATTACAATCCCAAATTGGAGGAAAACCCCCACAAATTTCATAGTGCCAATCATTATGGCAGTGGCTACGTGAAGGGCAATAATAATGCATCTGGGGCCAGCGGCCACTCCGCCGGTGCGTACGGATCCGGCTATGGCGCCAACTACGGTTCCAGTTATAGCGGAAATCATAGTCCCAATTACAGCGGCAACCGTAGCGGCAGCCACAGTGGCAACCACAGCGACAACAACGACAGCGAGGAGCGAAGCAAAGAATGCAACCACATCTACATGGAGGGAAACAACTCCATGCTGCACACACACAACAACCACATGCTCAGTTCCTATCTCGAAAACAAGGAATACCAAATAAGTTTCAGCAAGGACGCGGTCAAAGGCAACGTTAAAAGTGACATGTTGTACAACCTGTATGCAGATATGAACCAAAATAACTACAACACCGTTGCGAATGTAGGGAGTATGATCCCGACCAATATTATTGGCCTCTCTTCATATGACAACGGCGCTGTGAATAACCGGGGGTTTTCCAAGTACAGCACCCATCCACAGTTAATTAACATGAGTGCGATCAATGCCAAATCGCTGGGGGTTCTGCGTAATAGCGACGTAAATGCAAGCAGCCTTTGTGGTGGCGAAAGTGGAAGTAACAGCGCCAGCGGAAATACCAGCAGAAATGGTAGCGGAAATGGTAGCGGAAGTGGTAGTGGAAGTGGTAACGGAAGTGGTAGTGGAAGTGGTAACGGAAGTGCCAAAAATAACGGCAAAGGTGGAGGAAAGGGCGACACCAAAGGTGACGGAAAGGGGAACCCCAAAAATACTAACAAAAATAATAACAAAAACAACAGCAAGAATAACAGTAACGGAGGTGGTAACAGTAATGGTAGCAGCAAGAACGGAAGCAACAGCTGCGGCAATAACGGAGGCAATAATGGGGGAAATAACGGAGGTAGCAGTGGTGGCAACAGTGGCGGGAACGGCACAGGTCATAGCAGCGGTCATAGTGGAGGTCACAACAGTGGCCACAATGGAGGAAACGGAAACGGCCATACCAACGGCCACAATGGAGAGAATGGCAACAACCACGGTAACGCCAAAGGAAACGGCAAAAGCAAAGGTAACAACAACACCAACAGCAACAACAACAATTCCAGAGAGTTCATCAGCAGTGCAGGGAATGCCAACAAGAACAGCATAGAGAACAGCCCCAAGTCGCTCAAAAAAATGTTTAATGATCTTCCGAAAAGCCCCAGCAACCGTAATTTGAGCAACGATTTTAACATAGGCAGCAGCAGCAGCAGTAGCGAGCATTTGAAAAGTATGAACGGAGTACGAGGAACCACGAATCGCAATTTTACCAACCCCAATGGACACGTCAGTATGAATACAGCCAACATGAGCAGTATGAACGGCATGAACAGCAGTGTTAATATAAGCGGAAAGAGCAGCGTATGTGGTAAAGGCTCTATCCCAAGCAAAAGGGGCTTGATTGGGACAAATGGTCCAGTAGGCAAAAACAACGTAGCTGGTCTCAGTATGAACAACTTAAACAACCCTGTGGTACCTCCAAGTGACTTAAATCTAGGCGCAACTGGAATAACCCTCGCGAGTATAAATAATGGCATGGTGCTTAACAGCATGGTGGTGAATAATATGAGTATGAACAACTTGAAAAGTAACAGCAGCTTGAATCGTAACAACAGTTTGAACCGTAACAACAGCTTGAACCGTGTATCTGTGGTTAATGTTGGGAATTTAAATTTCAAACAAGGCGGAGGCTTCGTTAGCAGCAACAATAGGAGCGTCATGAACAGTAGCAGTGTAAGCAGTCTGAACGAGGTCAACGCAAAGCAAAGTGGTTCCGTGCAAAGTGGATCCATGCAAAGTCCAAATATGTCGGAAGAGACTATTATAGATGCAGTTAAGGGGGATTACGAGGTGAACAACAACAATCCCATGGCACGAAACGGAGTTGGACGAAGCAGTATCTATGCTCCCAGTATGAACTATGCGAAAGGCGAAGGGATCGGAGCCCATAAGAATAGCGCAAGTGGAAAGAATAGTTGTAAGAACAACAACAGCTGCAGCAACAGCATCAACAACAACAGCAACAACAGCAGCAACAGCAGTGGCATTGATCCATTTTCAAATAGCGTAAATTTCGGTGCGGCCAACATCTCGAGCAATGCAGGCCTCCAAATGAACAGTAACCTAAGTAGTTTTAAGCTGTATTCCATGCCAAACAAATACAACTCGTTTAGTAGCTATCCCACATGTGTAAGCAACCCTAATGATACGGGCACTACAGAGGATTGCGAAATTGATGATGCACTGTTTGACGGGCCGGGCGGCATCCACGTCGTGGGGAATGGAAGTAACAACGGCGGTGACAACGGTGGGGCACATGTGAGCGGAAAAGCCATTTTGAATAAAAACGTGATGAACAAAGTAAACATGGCGCACATGAATTATGGAAAGAATATGACTACGAGTGGTGTAAATGCGAGTGCCAATTTTAAGGGGAACCACAAAAATAATGTCCTCATGAACAGCGACATGCCGAGCGGCCTAATGCAGAATGGTAACCTTATCAGCAAGAATAATGAGTTGGGTAGTGGGAATTTTGACGCTATGAATCTCCTATCGTCAAATGTGACAATGCTTAGGGATGACATCTGCAAGGACGAGAAAATGAACAACTTAAATAAAGCTGCAATTGCGAGTTTTCCCTTGAAACATCCGCCGCCACCCCCTCCTCCACCTCCCCCACCATCTTCATGCAGTACGACCAGCGTGATGAGTAGCATGGGCAACGCCATGAGTAGCAGTGGAAACCATAACAACAGTGGAGAAAAGGCTAAAAACAATTCTTTTATGAAAAACCTCAGTTCATCTTCCTCAAACAACATGGGCAATGCTTACTTGGGCAACGTGACGCATCTAATCAGTGGCAACGAAGCGAAAAATTGCAACTTGAATTTGGGCACTACTAGCTACGCATCGAACCACATACTGAAGCATAACATGAGCTTGAATAATTTCGGCAACGTAAGTGGAAGCAACAAAGTGAATTTTGCCAACATGGCTAATCACAACGGTTCCGGAGGCATCATTAAGAGTAACTCGCATGGTTCGGTTGGCGGCATTGGCGGTGTGGGCCCATTAGGCACAAACATCGTTCCCGCATACAACGCAGCAAACAAAACGCCCCTTGAGAGTAGCGACCCTAGAGCGAACCTTAGCTCTAAAAGAAAGGGCTCGAATAACTCCAACAAAAATAACAAAATTTTTTATCAGCTGAGCAGCACAGCGAATGAGAAGAATAGCAGAAATAATGCCAAGGAAGGAAATGGCAAAAATGCCGTCATGTTAGGAACAAGCTCTATTTGTGAGGGTGCCTATAATGCTGATGGAAGTATCATTGCAAATGGGGGTGCGCTTAGCAGCGCCAATGGCGTGCACAATGCGAGCCCGAAAAATAGCGGAGACCAGACCAAGGGATGCACCAACACGAATACCACCAACGGTAGCGGTAATAATGGAAAGAACGGAAAGGGTGGGAAAAATGGCAACAAGAACCACAAACATAATAAGAACAAAAATAAGAGTGCCAATGGAGGAAACGCCAATGGAGAAGGCGCCAATGGTGAAAGCGCCAACGGAGGTAGCGCCACTGGAGGCAGTGCTGGGAACGGTGCTAACGGCAGCAACACGGTCATCAAAAAAAAAACCAATGAGAGAAATGCTACAGATAAAATGAACATGAACAACTTCGAGCAGAATAATAACTATGACTCAGTTACCCAAAGAAAAAATGGAAACAAAAATTTTGCCAACATTGTAAAGGAGGAGGAAGGAGCTAAGTTTGCAAGCGGAAATCTGCTGCCGAATGATGAGAAGAAAAATGCCCCAATCGATAGAAATGCATACAAAAGCTTTTTAAATAATATGAATTATTTCAAGGCAGACAATGTGAAGGTGTACAATAGGGGAGGCATAGGAGCAGTGGGTGGAGCTGCAGCCGTAGTGGTAGGTTATGGAAATAACGCTGATAAGCAGTTAGGAGTAAAAAATAACTTCCCCAATATCTCCACGTACGATAGCGAAAGCCTTTTGCATAGTTTGAGTAGTGTAAATATAAATAACGACATGAAAACTTCGGACATTATGAGCCCGCCGAATGTGCACAATTATGCGAACAGTGGTAACTCAGGAGGAAGCGTCGGGGACGTCGACGAGGATATTCAGTACCTTGGAAGCATGAAGAATAACAAAGACGGAAAGAACTACACCGAAGTTTCGCATGGAAAAATGAATAACTTCAATATGATGAACATAAGTAAGATGAACAGTCCGACTAATTCGGCAAAGAATAACGTGGGCCCTTTGAGCGGCGGTTTAAGCGATGGCCACAGTGGCAAGCACAACAGCAGTAGCACAGCCGAAAACACCCGCGCGAACGGAGGCGGCCTCAACAATTTTATTAACAAAAAAATGAGCAAGGACAACCTAAGCATGATAAACCATGCCATGATGAGTAACCTTAACCTGAACAACATTTATGCGAATAGTGACACGAACGCGTTTAGCAAAATGAATGTTAACCACAAGGGAGGTAGTGTAAGCAACTCCAATTTTTACTTTAACGGGGAAGGCGCAACAGGTGTTGTAGCGCGAAACCAGCCATATTACAATTCGTACGCCGAATCCTTTTCAGACAAAGTAGCCAACAAATCATTTATAGAGAAGAGTGGTAACATACCGTCTTCCATTTATAATGCTAAGAGGGAGGAACCCAGCATGAGGATGTATAACTACGTTGATAGTAATAACTTTTTGGAGAAAAACGCAATTATTGCAGACAAGTACGAGTCAATGGAATCGCCCCAAGACAACATGTTTAACTATGCCAGTTACGAATTTAAAAATAAAGAAAGGAAATTTTTTTACGACGCGTAGTGTTATGGTAGAGTGGAATGTTTACCTCGGGATAGAAGTACAGATGTAGTGCGAGGGGGAGGGAAAGAGAGAAAAAAAAATCAGAGCAGACCACAGCAGACAGATCAGACCACTTAACGGATGTTGCAAAGGCGGGGAAGGAGAAGCCCAAGGGAGTATAACTCATATCGTTGAATTTAGACTAACCTTCGACCCCATATGAGAAAACAAGATAAATGTGTATTTTTCTTTTTTTTTTATAATTGTTAATAAATTAATATGTGAAGTTTAAACCAAGAGAAACATGTTTTACGAGAGCATATTTTTTTTTATGTAAGATACGTGAATATTATACGCAGGTACCTGTGTATAGAATTTGTAGTTGTGTGTACACCTTGCTCATATGTATTTATGCTTACGTATAATACATCCAGAAGATGGAGGCATCTATGGGTACGTATATATCTGCGCGCGTGTGGGGGCATGGCTTTTCCACGGCAGCACCCAATATCGAAGTGTGTGTATGTCCGTGCTCGAATATTATGTACTTGTATACTTGTGCGTGCCCAGCCGCACTTGTACAATTGTTTTACGTGTTTATTCTTTTAATCCGCCCACGTGCCATGTATATATAGGCATTCTAGTGACAAATCAAAGAATGTGTTCCATCCATTGATGTACTTTTGCGTAATGCAGCTTTCATTTTTCGTCCATGTGAGTGTATATATTTAGCAGGTAAAAAAAAAGAAGGAAAATTTTGTATACTTACAATCTTTCCTTGGCATGGTGTAAAATGAAAGACTGCCATGTGCATTGTGTACATTATTATTACCCTCACATATGGGCGTGCCGCCGAGCACGCCCTATGTACATCCACATGTATGCCGCCATATATTATATATACATATATATATCCCCCTTTTTATTACGCGCATGTTCCAGCACGCACGCTTATGTATACGTCCATACCCACCCTTCCCTTACAGCAATGTTGAATTTTTCCCTTTTTTTTTAAGTGTTAGTGAAATATTTAAAGCATCATATACATTTTGCATATCTACTGTGTCCTTTATGAATTTGCCTTTCATTGCGCATACAAATTTTACGTATTATATTTTTAAAGCGGAAGGGCGGAGAAAGTACATCATTATTTTTTGATCACAAAATGAATGAGGGAGTTTTACATGTTACACGCACAATGTGATTGTCAAAAGTCTAGTGTACTGTACTGCTGCTGCCTATCTCCTTATGTCTACACTCCTCTCCCCCCTCCATTTGCGTTTATGTCACTACGTTTTTGTGTGTATCCCCTGCAGTTGCTATTGCGTAGGTGCCTGCGTAACTGCCCACGTATGCTTGTGTATGCATATGTGTACACGTCGGAGTGTGTCCCCTTGTCTGATCACGCAGTTGCGCCCTCCTCTACGTTTACATTTTGGTTCTCCTTTACTTGTGTACTTACTCCTCCTTTTTAATTCTGTCATTTGTGGTAAGAAATAAATGTTTTCATTTCTTACCGCGCGTTTTTGCCCCCTTTGGCTTTTCCATTTTTTCCAACCTCCCTTCGTACACATTCCTTGTAGAATATTTTTTTTCATTTTTACCAAACACCTTGGGTGTGTAGGCGCATCTGTGTAGGCCTCATGCGTGTAGGCCCCATGTGTGTGTGTTAACTCATGTACGTATTCTTATGTAAGTATGCATATGTCTGTACCCGTACGTATATGTGCCACGCAAGGGGCAACAACCCCCTCACATCATTTTCCACCCCTGTAATGTATTCAGCGATTCTTTAATTATTTTATTTTATTTTTTTTTTTTTACGTTTAATTGGATCCCACATTTATATTTGCGTATATATGTACGCAAATAAATGTACACAATTATGTGCACAATTATATGTACAGGTATATGTAGACTTTTTTTTTTATCAAATACGTAATTAACATAATTTTTTTTTTTTTTTTTTTTTTTTTTTATTAATAACGAAAAAATGTAACATAACAAATAAAATATCGACATAGAAAAATTGAAATACTAATGTATTATAGTAAATTGTCACATGAGCTTAGACGATTGTGTGCCCCCTGGCGATGCATATGCACACAGTACAGCAAGTTTAGCGTTAAAAGTAGGAAGCTCAATTGGAGAAAATTGCAAAATGGTTTTAGTAGTTAACTTCGCATGTTGGAAAAGATGAAAGTAAAAAGGATGCTACAATTTTGTCAGATGCATTCCCCAATTCAACTACATTTTCCTGTGCAATTTCTCCCGTACAACGTTTTTTTAATCAATCTTTTGTGCACAAAAAGGGGACATATGAATAACTGGTCATCCAAGCCCGTATAATAAGCACGCAAGGTAAATACGTGCCATAAAGGCGACTCCTTTGCGTTCCCGATTATAATGGAAGATGTGTAAATTAATTGCATTAGGATGATCTGTCTACCATATGTATATTTTGCCGTCGCGGAAAAGCTTTTAACAAGTTTTTTTTTCTCTTTTTTTTCAAGTTCACATGTTAACAAAATTGCACTGGTTGTATTATCCTCCTGCTCGTTTTCAAAAATACTTAAAAAAAATTGTCACTTTTGTGCAGAACCTTTTTAAAAAATATCTCTTTTTTTTGGAAAACATTATCTAAATTCTGTTAAGAAGAATGAAGTGTTGTATCCTTTAAACCGTTTAGGTACCATTTTGACGCTTCATTGTGTACGCGGTTAACTAGGGTTTCCACTCTCCTACTTTTAATACCCCCCCTTAATCCACTTCCAACATGGTGAAACGTATAAACAAAAAAAAGCAACCACAGCTAACCGAATGTACAGTAAATGGCATAAATGCTGAACAAAAAAAGACTAGAAAAAAACTCCGTGTTACAAACTTTACCATATAACTAACCATAGCTGTGGGATTTTTTTTTTCCCTCATGCAGTTTTGTAAATTAACGTAGTAAAAATCTTTACCCCCATTTTGTGGGCACGCATCATAAACATGGTTACAGATATAGTGCTACCTAAGCAAAGTTACGGAGAAAAAAAAAGAAACGTGGCTTAGAAAGGTACATAGAACATCCTGGTAGTAGCAACCCCACTTCATTCTATTCAAAGGAGGGTTAACATATTCTTCGGATAGTGTGCCAAATGTGTATGCAACATCGCACTAGGAAGGCGCAGCGTGCTACATAGAAGGAAAAAGATTGAAAATACCATAGGATAAGTCCAATGTGTAAGGCAGAACGAACGTCAAGAATAGGCGTGCCCTTGTGCGTGGACCGTAAACAAGGGCATACCTCACAGTTGGCAATCATTCAACCTGTTTAAAAAAAATAAGCGCACATATTCTTCACACCACATTTGCATTCTGCATTCGCATAAAGTAGATGCTAACTTTTATGTTTTTTTTTAAAAAACAGTCACGCCCTTTTTTTTCTCTTCATAACCTTACACAAAAAAAAAAAAGAAAGAAAAAAGGCTATATATATGAAATATAGGTGAAAAGAAAAAATTAACAAAATTTGCGTTTCCCTGATAACATTAGTTCGAAATAACACGAATCAAAATGGAAAGAAAAACATGGTTAATATAATCCTTTAAGAAGCGTGAAAAATTAAAAATATTTCCCTCTCCCCCCATCGTGCATTCGCCCCCAACAACATTGTGTATTAAGAGAAGGTTATTTGCTTTGCCATTTTTTCTCATATTTTTATGATTGACAAAAAAAAAAAACATTCCACCTGGGGTAGCCAGCAAAAGGATATTATGTGTTCGTTCAATTTTGCTACATATTATAAGCGATTTTGGAGCATACACGTGCACAGCAAACGTAAAAAGTTGAGAGCGCGTAAAAGCAGCCAGAAGATGAGCGCAGGAATTGACACAGCTTTAAGGCCCCCAAGGGTACATAAGCTTAGCGCATAATATATGCATATACATATATGTATTACATGTATGTTCATGTATGCGGGTATATGCCTGACCCCCCCCCCTCCATGAGTGTGGCGCATTTGTGACTACGTACATTCCCCTCCCTCGCGCGAATTGCACAGCTACCAAGCGTGTAATGAATCGCTGCCTCTGTAGGTGGCAGAGGGCCAACAAGTTGAAAGCGCCATACTGACTCACGCAGCACGTGGCACACGGCCCACCTTAAGCAGAAGTTTTTTCCTGCGCGCAGGTGTACCACGCGTTTGTGGGAGTGTATATAGTTGTACACATGTACGTAATATGTACACATATTCCATTTTCCTGTGGTCACAATTTTATGCATAACTAGATAAAAAAACTCGTTCTGCACGACCCACTCGACGTGCCACAACAGAGCAGCCTCTATAGATGAACATATTTTTACAGATAAGGACGCCTTGACTTATAGCAAGTAATTTATCCTTTAAAATTCGCAAATTTTTGGTACCTCCCCATGTTGAAGTGCGCAATGCGAGTGTGACATCGAGGGGGGCCTCCTACACGTGAACAACTCGATCTGCATGTGTGCTTTTTCGCGAGGTGCACATAAACGTGCGCATGGGAGAAACGCGCGTAACCCGCGTAACCTGCGTAACCCGCCTACTTAACTTCTGTACGCCCCCACCCCCCAGCATGAATGAAAATGAAAGGTTGAAAAATATTTTAGATGAAAAGGAGGAAGTGTTGGAGGCCATGGAGGAAGAAGACTCACTTGTGGAAAACAAGGCAAAGGAGTTCGAAAATATTTCGAAGAAAAATTTGGAAGTCTTAAAATTTCTGAATAAACAAGAATTGATGCTCTTAATTGATAAACTGAACCATGAAGATAAACTCACAAAAATAATAGAGAAGGAAATTAAGCAAGACACGTTGGAAATTCTGAAAAATGTGAGGGGAAAAAAAAAAAGTAAAATTGTTGTAACGTACGTGAGGGGAGTGCCTACCAGTTTAGAGTTCACCCCTCCCGTTGTTCATCCGTTTGTGCATATTTATTTGTGTGGATATGTTCAGAATGGTCACGCGTTTGCGGTGGCACGTGGATCGGCTGTTTTCACCATGCTACGTTGGCGCTCAGAGAGAGACTTTACCCCTGCCTGGACATTCCAATGGAGAGTGTGTACACGTATTAACATATGTCTGGTGATGTCTAATCCGCATGTGAACCTCTTAACGGATGCATTCCGAGCAGAAGGGAGCAGAATTAAGCACGGATAGTTCAATGTTTTTTTTTTTTATTTTTTTTTTATTTTTATTTTTTTTTATTTTAATTTTTTCTTTCTCCCCTTTCACAGTACGAAAATGAGCAGTATGACACGATAAAGCTGGACGAGAAGGATCGAAATGATGAAAAGCAGGAGGACAACGAAAAGAAAGAAGAACAGGAAGAGAATGAGTACCTGAGGTTGAGCAAGTTCATTCCATTAAGGCTGACGTATGAGGAGAGACTGTACCTTAGACTGCTGGAAAGTACCTTGGAAGTAAGCGAGTACACAGACAAAATAGACGTATTTCACAGTGGAAATAAAAGCAAGAAAATTATAAAGGAAATTAAAGCACTATGCTCTATACTGTCCGGATTGGTTATTGCAAATAATTATGAAAATGGGCAGAAATTAATTCGAGACCGAGATTTTCTAAGGAACAGTAGCTTCTTCAGTTTTGTTTTCGAAATAGGGAGACGTTATAAAATTCTGAACCCGGACAGGATGAGAAGTAGCTACGGAAAGTTGATGTACTTTTTAATGGATACCCGAAGAGAAGAAATCTATGATTTGTTGTCATTTAATTGTGTAGCGCCAATAAAAACTGTGTACGATTTATTGAAAGGGAAAAAGAATGGACTGGATATTTTAAATGATAATTTAATCAATATTGCCACCATGCATATAGACGCAAAGGGGAGCAGGAGTGAAATACAGAAACAGATTAAAGAGAAGGAAGAAGCAATAAAATATCTGTCAAGAAAGTACTCAAGCAATAGCAGCAGAAATAGTAAAAAAAATATATTTAGAATTAATATTCCCATTTTTAATAATCAAAATAATGAAGACGATGATTCGAATAACGCAGAAGAATTGGAATTTTTGTCGTCAGAAGAAATTGAAAGATGCCTCTACAGTTTATGTGATTATAATACACATATAAAAATGTTCTGTGAGCCTTGCGAAATTATGATTGATTATTTAAAAACTTTTTATGACCCCTATGAGAAAAATTCTTCCTATTCTCTATCCATCGAATCGGGAAAACAAGGAAGTAGACTAACGCACTCGCATAATAGGCAGTATATGTACGTTTTACAAACCTTATATTTGTGGAAAGAGATAGGGGAACATATGTTTTTCTTGTGGGCATGCGCAGAAAATGATATGCTCGATTTTAAGAACCCCTACCGATTGATGGACACAGGGCAGGGACTAAACCGGATGCAGAGTGGCCACAAAGTGCTGAGTGTTATGAAGAAAATTTTGCACAACGTTCAGAAGAAATTGGGAGGATGGGTTGGCTCTAGCATGATTCACATGGGCGACACCAACATTCCCAACACGTTTATGTTTATCGACAAATACACGCAGGTAGGTGTGCTTACCCGGGAGAGAGGGGGCATAAAAAGCCATATAAACAGTGGCACTGTGTAGTTTATGGCACACATAAAGCGTCTCTTTAAAGCGCGCCCCTCTGCTGCTTCTCTATTTTGTAGTGGTATCCTATTTGATACTTGTCATACGGGAGGAAAAAGGGAACCATACGGCAGAACAGAGAAATTATCTCTGCTTTTTCCCTTCCCCTCCCCTGAAAGGTAAACCCGCACGAATTGTTAACCCCTGCCCATTTTTCTTTTCTTCCCCTTTGCAAGGTCCCAAGGATCTTAACGCCAATCGTCCTATGCTTGCAGAAAATCGATGAGCTCTATAACTCAACAGCCTCGATGAAAAATTACATCAAGACGGAATTCAACGGTGCCCAAAATTTGAAGTAAGAAAAGGGGAAAAAAAAAAGAAAAAAAAAAAAAAACGGGGAATAAGAAAACTGTGGTATGTGCCCAGAGAAGCGGTGTAGTGTGTTGCACATAGGTGTGCATGTTGCTCACATTGTGAGCGAATTGCGCATCGTGGTGTCCTACTACGACTGAGCCGCGTGGTTACTTCGCCACATTACCCACCCTCACCGTTGTCCCCTTCCCCAGAATGATGATCACCTGCGATTTCTTTCGCCACGGCTTCGACGGCAGTGGTGGTGACAACTTCAACGAAGCAGGAAGTTGCATCGATGGCAGGTTAACCTCCGCCTGGAATTGGTGCTCCAAAATTGAAAAGAAAAAATACTTCCCCATATTTTTGTTAACCGGATTTGTTGGGTTCGATGGATCCTTTTAGGCAGAGCCAAGGAGGAAACAACAAAGCACTCCCACTACAACAACCACGACGACCACCACCACTTTGTCCTTCGCCCTTGGCCTTTGGTCAAATTTTTATTTTGTCTATCTTAGGCATTTCCATTTTCTTTTTATATTTGTGACGCGTCCGCCGGCGTGTCCACCTTGTCCCCCTTCTACTGACGTTTAGCCTACAGCACACAGCAGGCGGCCTTTTTGTGTTGCTTTTCCGTAGCTTCTGAGAAGCTTCCCGCAACCATGGAGCTGTTTCCTTGTACCCCTTCACATTTATTGCTCCAATTTTTACCCCTCTGTGATTTTCATTGAAAGAAAAAGGATATGCATATCATCCCCCCTCTGCCGCTGACGCACCCCTGTCAGAAAGCTTCTTGATCTGTATCTCATTTGTGCTAGGAGTGTGTCGGCTTCCCACTTGTGCGCTTGCGTGGATGGGCGTGTATAGTTAAGCATTCCCGGCATGTTTAGTTGTAACAAAATCCACGTCTGTTGTGCACAACGATGAATTTTTTTTTTCCCCGTTGGTTAATTCTGCCTTTCCTGAATTCAGTCTTTTTTTTATTTTGAAAACGCAGTTGTAGAAATGTTAAAAAAAAGTAAAAACGAAAATAAAAAAACGAAAGGGAAATCAAAAAAAAAAAGTACAAATAAAAGAAAAAGGAGAAGGAAGAAAGAATGCAGAATGAAGAACAATGAATATCCTTGATCGCGAAGAGCAACGGCGACAACCGGGCGGCGCATTCTCCAGGCGGGGAAACTCTCCTTTGCTGCGTCGATAATGAAGCCAATTGTAGGGTAAAAAAAAAGGGAAAAAGCGCAATTTCGATTAGCACCTAAATGTTTATATAGTTAAAACTGATTATGCATTTTTTCTACCATTTTACATCCCATTTGTGGGAAAAAAGAAAAAAATGGCCTCGTTAAATGGAACATGCTGTATAAAACCTTACAAAATGTTGCATGATATATATATAATACATACATACATACCATTTTGTAGATTAATTTTTGTCGCCATTTTGACAAATTTTAAGGGACATATCTGTCATTTTAGCCACAAAAATTATCGCATCTATTATTGCATTTTTTTGTATATTTGGGAGAGACTACGCAGTAGGCCCATTTCCTCCAATTTGAAAATGCAGTTGTGAAAACGTTCTCCTCAACCCAGTTGTAGCAATTTTGCAAGCGAGTGGGTTTTAGAAGGCATGGAAATTTTACTATGCAATCATATCTTTTTTTTCTCTCTTTTATAAAGAAGGCAAAATATACAATACAAATGTTATAATTTACCATAAGAGGGGCAGCATAACCCGCGCATACGTCTCTGCATAGAAACTTAAGCAGGCAAGAGAACGTAGCATAGGGTAGAGCTATTTATTTGAATGTTCCCCACCCCTCCAAAGTGAACGAAGATGGACAAGGAAAGTCCCAAGGTGGTAGACCAGCACCTGCTGGAACAAATGAAGAACACCATCGAAATGTTCGCCCAAGATTCCACCTGCACAAGTAAGGAAGCATTTGCAGATGATAAGTATGCATACAGTCTAATTGATTACTACAAAAGCAGGAGGACGAAAAATGTCGTTATACACATGCTAAAAAACGACATAAATATATTGCACTACAATGAAGAATACAAAAATATAATTTTTATCAACTTTTTAAGATTGTGCCAATTGAATAATTTAAACGTAAAAAAGTATCATGATATGTTTTTAAAATATGATATTTTCTCCTACATTTTGAATTCGGAAAAATACGTACATGTTTTTTTAAAGTCAATTATAAATAATGACAAATTGTTGTGGGATGTGAATACCGACCATTTTGAATTCGTTGCCTTTCCCATGGCTGGCAGTGCACAGAAGGAAAATGACGAAACAGGAAACCTGGGTAACCATTACGAAGACAGCTGCTACGTGTTGGAAGAAAGGCAAAAATTACAACTCGATGATCTTGTCGAAAATTCCTCAGATTGTTGTGAGTCCTCCCCATTTAGCGAAGACGAAATTTCCGTATCTTCTGGATTTTCCGAAAAGTCCCCACACGTGATGAGAGGTTACCAAATGGTGAATGGCAATTTACCCCACCCGTGCAGGGGTACCAATTTGGAGCAGTACCTTAAAAAAGGAAATGCCGCCCTTGCGAAAAAGGAACACATCTTTCAGAAGCAACTAATCGAGGAGGACGAAGCGTCAGTGGAGTGCATAAATGGCAGTATCATCACCATGCATGAGGAGGAAAAACCAAAGGAGAGCGATGACACTATGTGGGAGGAAAAAAGCCGAAATAGTCTCGCAGGGCACTGCTTGTCCACCCTGAACAATATTAATTTGAACCACTTAATAGACACCATTGTGGACGCGGGTAAATGGGGTCATGATGACACCCCGCTGGGTGGGATGAGTAAGAGGAGCACCAATGGCATGCAAAAAAAAAGTAGCCTAAACGAATCAATCATAGAAAAATATGTGACAAAGTCAGAAAATGACCAAGATGAGGTGCTCAATTTGTGTAAAAAGGTTAACAGCATGGAAAAAATTATTAAACATTTAATTGGAGAAATAATGCGGAGAGATCTGGTAAAAAAGGGGCCCCTTGATGGAGTTCCCCTTGGAGTACCCATCGAAGAAACCGAAGTGGTGAAACAAAATGACACCCAGAAGAGGCACCAAGGGGTACCCCCCCCAAACGATATGACAAGCAATACGAGCAAGGACTGTGGCGAATACGCAGAAGACACGGACAGTAAATATTTCGAAAGTTACAACAACACAGGTATACACAGAACTATGATTCTAGATAAGAGCAGAACAAATTGCTACTACGAATTTGTAAAAAAAAATAAAGAAAGATTTCAAAATAAAGTGGTCCTGGACATAGGATGTGGGTCTTCCATCATTTCTCTCTTCTGTGCTGACTACGCGAAAGTTGTTGTCGGAATTGACAACGCCCATAGGATATTAACAAAAGCAAGAAAAATAACGGAAAAAAATGGAGCCAATAATATTTACCTTTTCGAAGGAAAAATAGAACAAAATGATATTTATGTTGATGAGAAGGAGGAAATACACTACGTTAACAAAGAGGAAGACTTAGAAAAATATAAAAAAATTTACAATATTCAGAAGCTGCAAATTCTAAAATTTGATATTATTATTTCCGAATGGATGGGATATTTTTTATTTTACGAATGCATGATTGACACCATTTTGTATGCTAGAGATTTCTACCTAAAAGAAAATGGCTTGTTGTTACCAAACAAGGTTTATCTATACCTAGCGGGTTATAATGACTTAGAGTATATAAATGAAAATATTTTAATTTGGGACACCCCACTGTATGGAAAGGACCTCTCTCAATTGAAACCCAGCTTAAAGCATTTTCTGGAAAATGCTAAAATTATCAATCTAGACAAAAGTAATGTGTCCACTGAAGTGGTTAATTATGCCATAGTTGATATGTACACATATCGTAAAAATGAAAATGTGTATATTTCTTCTGATTTCAAAATTGTCGTTAATAATGGAAGACTCGTGACGAGTTTGTGTTTTTATTTCGATTGCCACTTTGAAGCGTATAGATTTTGTCATGGTGAATCAACGCACAGTGCGCAGAATATCTCTCCCACTGGGGAACAATGCACAAATGCCATTTTGACGACTAGTATGTTTGAGCAAGAAACGCACTGGAGGCAGACCCTATTGCATCTGCACTGCCCGAATTTTACCATCGCTAGTATTTCTGCTCCCGCGGAAGGGGAACACCCCAATGAGCTGTCCGGCAGGATATTCATATCGGCGGCTGCTGAACACTCTAGAAATGTGACCGTTCTTTTGCAGATTAGAAAAAATGAGTCGATGAATGTGGGCGAGGACTGGACGTGTTGGTATTCCCTCGACTGAGCTGCATGGCATAGCGGAACAAACGTGAAAAAAGGAAAAGAGCCAAAGGACTCCCTACCCGACATATTTGCATATAGAGACGAAACAAGCTTTGCGCAGTTGAAGGATACCCATTTGAGACCGCGCCTGCTCGTCATTCCACAGTAGCGAGTTAACTCGCTCTCCCAAAAGATCGACCCAACTTTACTTTTTTCCCCTTTTTTTCTCTTTCCTCATTTTGAAACCACATCTGATTAAAAAAGAAAAAAAAAACACCTATTGAGGCCCACCCTGAGTAGTCACCTTTTCCGCCTCACCCCTCTAAGCCGCTTCTTATTCCCCATATAGGCAAACCTAAAATTTATAATACTTAACATTTTCAAATGCCATTTTAATCCAAATTCGAACTACGCAATGTGAAGGTTTGAAGGGATCAGCTGTAAGATCCATTCCGCCATGAAGTGTTCACCCATAACAGAATGAACGACGAAAAATTAAAAAAATAAAAAACATCCAAATTGATGTACTTAAAAGTACTAACAACGGTTTATTGTTCATATACGTCAAAAAAAAAAAAGAAAGAAAAAAAAAGGGTTTAAAATCATAGACAAATACAATGTTTTCTTTTTCATTTAAACGGAAAAAGAGAACATGTTTAAGAATTAAAGTTAAAAAGTGCAGCGGGGCATGACGTCTAAAGATGAGAAAAAAAACAAATAAAGGGTGGCTAAAAAATGGCTGAAGAGTGCCCAAGAATTGACTCAGACTCAATGTGGCTGAATATGATTAAAGAGTGAATAAATACGACTATGGAAACAAGTACGTATGACTAAAGCTTAACTAAAAAGTTAAAAACTAGGGGCGGATAAACGATCACCCCTAGTGGTTTGGCCCCTCGGTGCGGGGAGATGCGAAAACAGCTGCAAGTGCCATAACAGGACAAACGCACACAATGGGTTAGCCCAACTTGAAGAGGTAAAAGAAGACGGTGAAGTGGGCTAGGAAGTCCTTTAAAATGTTATGCTTCTTTGGTTTCACCAGAGTTGATTGCTTCCCATAAAAGAACTTTTTCAAAAAGATCTCATTGTTGTAATTCGTTTTCGAGCCATACTTTAACAAATAGTAGAAGTAATTCCACTTAATGTTTTGAGGAGTATTAAACGTCTTGACGTCACCTGTGCGCGCATACTTATTGCTTTTGTTGTAGACGTAGGCGAATTTGTCAAAGAAGTAAATGAAGGATGTGTAAGGTTCCTCCCCCGGCTTTAAGTTGAAGGCGCTTCTGAAGTGGCTGCTCTGCATGACGCTTCGGATGGCCCGCATGTAGATGTCATGGGCGCTTTTGAAGACGTTCCTTTGGAGAAGGACTGGGAGCGTCACTTCCGTGCAGAAGACGTTCTGCCCGCTGCTGTTGCGATTTCTACTGCTGTGGCCGTAACTGTTATCGTTCTTCTCCCTTTCCTTCCTCTCCCTTTCCTTCTTCTCCCTTTCCTTCTTCTCCCTTTCCTTCCTCTCCCTTTCCCTTTCCCTTTCCTCCTCTTCCTTCTCCTGCTGCTTTCCTTTTCCACTTCCAACACTCATTGCAATCTGGGAGCCCAGGCCCAACGCCCGCTTGAATTCGTACGCTGCTTCGATCACGTCACTGAAATCATCGTGGTAGTTGTTTAGGCTTTCAATGCTTTGGAATCGGGCCGTGCTATCGAGACTTTCGTTGCTGCTACTGCCGCTTATGTCGAAACTGGTGGTACTTTCACTAATGGCGTTAAGGTCACTGGTGCTCGCACTAATGTGGCCATCGCCCACCTTTCTCGGAATTCTCATTTCTTCGTTCCTTTCAGTAGACTGCATATCGGCCTCATTGGAAAACAAATTTTGAATAAGGGGTTTCTCTGGAATGATAAAGCAAGCATTAATTTTAAAGGTGCTAATGTCTTCATTTTTGTTGTGAAGGACAGCTACCAGGGAATTATTGCTAATGGAGAGTATATCCGTTTCGTCGATTCCTCTTTCGATTCCATCCCTCATGTTAGTCATTCTTTTTCTCTCTCGTTCGTGTAATGCGGACAGAGTAACACTTATATCGTTCTCGAAAAACGTTTTGAGGAGTCCGACATTTTCACATAATTTCAGGTGTCTATATCCCGGGTAGTTACAGTGCTTTAAGGATTTCAAAACGTATAAATTTCGCGAGGTATATAATTTCTTTATATGGAAGTAGGCCTGCTGATCGTAGTTACAGAATTTTGAAATAAAGCTAAGTTCGATATCTTCGTATCTGTGAAACAGACAGGAGTTTACACCATCCAGGTTGCTCAAATGGTCTTCCAAATCATTATATGCTGATCCTCTAATTACAAATTCGACATACTCCATAGGTTGGTAGTATCTGTTGTACATCGAAATTTGCCGAAAGGCTTCCATAAGAGTCAAGGCACGTTTAAAGTTTAGATAGATACCATGATGAGTAACATACGTTCTGTCTACATCTTGAATGCTACCGTTGCCGGTGCTATTTGCATTGCTTCCCCCAAGTGTGTCGTTAGCGGATTTGAATGTGGTGAGGTCTCCTACTTCTTCGTTCACTTCAAGTTGCCGTTCGTTGCTATTAGCTATATTTTCAATGTTGTACATGGCACTGAGTTTCTGCTTCATATCGCTGAAGGTGCTGTTTTCTTGAATAAAATTGTGTGCCTTTTTTATTTCATTTCTTAACTCCTCCATACGATCATTTTGGTACTTTTTAAAAGTCTTATGGTTAAGAATGAACGTTTCTTTTCTAATATACTGGAAGGAATTGAGGTAGGAAAAGATTTTTAAAAAATTGGTGTACCTGCACATATATTCATATATGACATTCTCGTCGTGATCGAATTGGGAATTATTTAGCAAAGGGAAGTTAATTTTCTTCTCCTTCTGTCTCGTCAGAACCACTTTATTAATCGGTAGGGAAAAGGCCCTGAGGGTTCTGTACAAACTACGGTACACATAAGCCGGGTTACTTTTACTAAATATAAAAAACTTCACATAATGTGTTGACACAAACATGTTAAACAAATTTTGCACCAGGTTCATGTTTACATTATCTGAGTATACGTGAAAGTCCTTGATAAATTTGTTCTGATTAACATCATTTTGATTTCCTATATAAGTCATCCAGTTGTAGTATATAAATGGGTCCGCATCGTACAAAAAGTCAATGTCATTTTTGATCACGTTCCTTTCGCTAAATCCGTTCATTGCCATATGTTTGTATATGTCATAGGAGTACATCAATAGCGCTGTTCTACCCGTGCCCAATATAGAGTGAGGGGTGTATATATTATTTTCTTGCATGAACGGTATGACGTAGTGTTCCAAGAAGGGATTCTTGTAAACTTGCCTATGAGGAATATAGGGCTGTGGTTTCTGATCAAAATTTACAATTTCATTCAAATAGGAGACGAACCTTTCCAACTCGCTGTGCTTAATTTGGGAACATACCTTATTGCTCTTTATATACTCAAAGAATGCATAATTGTTCGAGATGTTAATGTCTGATAAATGCGCTGGGAGGCTATACGTGCGGTGGTAGTACTCATTTCTGATGTTCAAAATGTAATAGCTTAGCGACCTCATGTGCAGTGTAGAATGTAACCCTAAGGTGCCGTGTAAACTGATCATTTCATCATTGTCCAAATCGGAATAATAATTGACATTTTTAAAATGAGTGATTAAAGAACCTGTATCGCTTTCATAATCGTAATTAACCTTCTCATGTAGAGCTAGTAGGCATAATAACCCTGGATTCACGATATGTATTAATTCTTGTGCATCCCTTGTTTTTGCCAGTTTCTCTCTGAAAAAGGAAGGCACATTTTGGAACATAAATTTATACCTCATGAATTTCTGATGACCAACTCGTATGTCTTCCATGTTGGATACAAGACCGATAAGGGGAGGTGCTGTAGAGACTATAGTTAACAAGTTAAATTTTTTATTTAGCAAGTAGGTGTGTAATCGTTTCAAACATCTGTTCGATGAGGGTTCTACTTTTTTAGGCACTTTTCTATCTTTTACGTACAAAATACGTTCGACGGGATCGTCCGATTCTGATTCTCGTTCGGATTGAGATTCTCGTTCCGATTCGGATTCTCGTTCGGATTGAGATTCTCGTTCTGATTCTTCCTCTTCGCCTCTCCCTCGTGCGACATTCGTTCCTGGTTGAGCCACTAAATTTTTGATGGAGTCTTTTCCTCCTCCAGCTCGGTCAGCAATACTGCTGTCCTGGGGTAAAACATCATACTTGACATTATAGTCATCAAATACGTCGTCAAAATGTTCGGTTAATTTTTTTTTATTTGATTTGGCTTGAAACGTCCTATACAAATAGTACTTGTGAATTTTAAAATATGGGTCCTTCCTATATTGTATACTGCTCTTGTCAGTAATTATGTTAATATCCTTTAGTGTCAGTTTGAAATTGTCTTCAAGTATGGCTAGTACTTCCCTCTCGTACGTGACATTTAACATAGACGTATCCATCAAGTTCCAGATTTCCTTATCTAGCGTAAACATTAATCGAACTACATTGGCACCGTAACAATGGGAATGGATAAAAATATCGTAATTATAACAAGTGTCATCTTCCAGCATGTTTTTAAACGTTACGGACATTCTATTTGCCAACAGGAAAGCGTAGTTAAGGTGTGTATATTGGCCCTCTGTGCCTAGAAAATTTGAAAGACTGATAAATGGGGTGTAAATAATATACTTGCTGTATTTTTTCTGTAACATGGCTTCGTGTTTGTTTATATTCGCTGCAGCACTCCATATTTTGTAATCATTCGAGTTTCTTGAATTTGGTCTCCCATGTACGAACAAATTGATGGCACAGTTGAATTGCTTCTTTTCGAATGCTTTATAATTTTTTATGTTTTTATATCTTTCCTTTTTATATGCATTGTACTCCTTCGTCTCGTAAACGTAGTACTCGTCGATGCACCTGATGAAGTCGCCTTTGAAGTTCGGATGCTTCAGATCTATAAATGGGTTCGTCTCCAACTGATATAACCTCCATTTCTCGTCAATTTCGCTTTCCTCGTACGGGTTCTGCAAAGTGATGGAAGGATATATGAAAAAAAAAGGAGGATAGCATCATGTAAATCGTGAAATGGAAACATGGCCAGGGTAACCCCTCTCACACGCACACAGAAAAGGGTAAGATTCATACAGATCGCGTGTGCGCGGGAACAACATACACTACTTACATTATAATTGTTAGGATTTTTTTGCTGCTCTTCTGTACCGGTCACACTTTTACCATAATTGATGAATAAAAGGAGAAATATGATGGCATTATTCATTATTTTTTTTTTGTGGATACGGTAATATAACTGTGTAGGATGTCTAGTGAGTAAGTTCCTATTTCATTAATGCAGGAAAGGAAAAAAAAAGTTACTATAATGGGGGGGAAGTCCACACATGTGCATGCATAGATTTGCGCACGTGCGGGTGGCATGTGTCGGAGTCCTGTGAGGAAACTCGGCTAAATGTGTGTATGTGCGAGTAGAGAGCATAGTAGGTATGTACGTGAGTGTGTGCGTATGCACTGGTGTTATGTACGCACTACTCATCTATGTATACACACGTATATGTCACAAGGAACCGCCTTGATGCAGCTAAGGAGTTCCTCTGTTCTACGCTTCTTACGCACAGAGTCACGCAAGAAACCGCGGTGGAAACGTTATGAGTAGGATGCACAGAATGGGAGGAAAACAAAACTTTAATTAAAGAGAACAGCGCCGATATGCGTGGGGCGTTGTGAATCTACAAGAGCGGGGTAAACAAGAGGGGGGGAGGCATAAACTCGAACAAAAGCGCCCACAGAAAATTTGGACACGGAAAAAAATCACACATAAAAACTGTGACAACAACGACGTGGCAGAAAAAATGTGACACCAAAACTGTAATAGCACAAGAGCGTACCACGAAACGCTCAACGGCGATGTGGGTTGTGCCTAAAAAGGGTACTAATAACACATAGGCCAAGGTATATACACAAAAATATCTGCAAGGAGGGCAAAATCTACAACAAAGGTTTACCTACACTTAGTTAAAAGCTGAAGAATGTGAACACAGCGACATTTTAGTACTACAATATAAAATTTAAGTGGGCTAAATATGGTCGCATAAAAAAGAATTCTAATAATATCAAAATTGAGGTTACCTTTTAGATTCGAACAAAAAAAAAGTCTAAGAAAAAAATTCTAACTGTAAGATTAAAATTTGTGCAATATTACGGGGAAAAGCACAAAAGGTTTTCAAAAAAAAAAAAAAAAAAGTATAATTTCTTAATACAGTGTATCCTAAAATGTAGAAACTCCTTAAAGTAACAAAAAAACCATATGACATAGGAATATGTTGTTTCTTTAAAGAGCCACTACATGTATAGGGATGGATTCGATTTAAAAAAAAGGCAGTAGAAAAAGATATGTTCATGCAAATATATTTCCTAAATGTATATGAAAATGTACAAGTAAGTATTAAGCAAATGTATACGTATATATACGTAGTGCTGAATGGCGCTAATAAACAATGGGCGGACTAATGGGCTAAATAATGCAACTGCATAATGCAAATAACGTGCGCGCCAACTTACACGACTAAATGGTAACAACGCATGCCGAATGCCGACTGGGAAAATAAAATATACTCGTGCTCTTATGTAACTCCTATTTTAAGGTACGCCAGGAACAGGCGGGGTTTTGCTCTTTTCATTTTTCTGTTCCTTCCTGCTTCTGCTTAAGGCATTGATCTTAAAATTAATGGTACAAAATGGTAAAACAAATCATGGAAGAAATGTATGCATCGAATGAATATGCTAAAAAAGAAAAATCGACATGAAATATCGGGGTGCCATGTCAACATATAATATATATCCACATCATGAAGCAGCCCCTTTACGATACGTTTGGCATACACGAGTTGTACTTGGGCATGCCTTCAGTATTCTCCCGGTATGCACTTATTTTGTGGACGCACGATGGCGCGCGCATATATGTATGCCCAAGCGCCTACTAAGGATGTATACAAATATAAAGTGCGCGAAGAAACATTATCCATATGACGCGAAAACCCCCGCAGGTGAGAACATTCACAAATGAACATTTAATTTACTCCATGCATATACAGAAATTTCTTGGTTTTAAAATAAATAGTGGGAAAGAAAAAACCCTCACATTATTTATTTATTTTATTTTTTTTTGAAGCGTGTACTTCAATGAGGGGGTTAAAAAGAAAAAAAAAAAAGGTAACACTGAGTATGTATTTGCTTCAAATGTATTTTGAAGTCTTACTTTTTTTTTTCTTCTCGTTTTTGCATTTCCCCTGGAAGCGAGAAGTCACACAGTAGTACATGTATAGTGAAGCACGGGGGTGTAGCAAAAGAGGGCAAACAGAAATACGGAAATACCGAAATACGGAAAAACGGAAAAAATTCAAAACAGCACTAAAGTTTCACAGAATGGTTAAGCGCAATTTTCAGGTATGTTCAACATAGCAATTAAAATGCATACTGATGAAATGTGCATGGGTACAACTGTAAACATAAAAAACTTGGCACACGAAAATTTACGCGCACCAACCGGATATAGTACAAAAAAAAGTTACTGAAAAAAGGAAAAGAAAAAAAAATTCACAGAAAAATCATGTGCAGATGGAAAGCAGTGGTGTACCACGTTGTGAACACAGTTTTAAGGTGCAGTAGGCTACTTTCCTGCGTTCCTTTTTTCTCTTCACAAAATATGCGGCCAAAAAGCGAAGAAGCACACTGCGATATACACTGCGACATACGCTGGGACATACAATCCGACATACACTGCAACATACACGTCATGAATCGCGAGAGTGTAGCTTCCCTTCGTCACTCTAATTCTGATTAAAAATGAGGAAATCAACCAGCGGGAATATGATCGTACATCGTATGTAGCGTTGTTTCACGCGCCTGCGCTATTTTGTGAAAGTACTACGCCTACATAAGATTTATGTACATAAAAATGTACACGTGTGTACGGGTACGTATGCAGTGAACCCACTGATATAGATATGCGTACATGCAATTTCCTCAACGGCACATGGAGGACACAATTATATTTTAAAAACAAAAGTGCTCCTTTGCGCAAGCAGTTTGTGCGCTTGGTACACGTAAATCAACGTGTGGAGTTGGCGCAGCTCCAATCTGCTTGGCACATGGAAACACCAGAAGGAGGGAGGGTCAAAACGCGGAACGGTAAAATTCCAAATGATTGGTCCAATATTCACCGTTTGCAATACTTTTCAAATGCGATATTTTTTAAGAAGAAAATTTTGCACAGAAAGAAACGTACATCTCTTTTGTCTTCAAAATTGTTTTCTGTCGAAATGGCGAAACTCATCTCACGTTTATCACGCAATTATTCGTAACATGGAATTCTTTCACAATTTCGTTAATGAACGAACGGTTTGGTGCACTTTTTCTTTGAGAAGACGCGTGGGGAAGTGTTTTCGTTTTGTTCGCGAATGTGCAAATGGAAATTCGTGGGAAAATTTAACAAATTTGAAAATTCTCAAGAAAAAAAAACAGACAAATGGGTTATATATATATACTAACATGCAGACACACATGGCCGCATAATGCATATGTTCACTCATGTGCAGACACCTGTGTAGCACGAACCTCTCCCGTTTCGCCCACCGAATACGCACGTGCGGAGGCAGGGGAAAATGAAAAAAACGCAAAGCAACAAACACGCATTTGCGTATGCAGCAGATGTGTCTAAATAGGGAAATTAAAAAATGAAGAAAAAACAATTTTTCCAAATTGTCGAAAGTAACGATTTGTCTGCACAGCCCGAAAATTCGGCGCTTGATTTATCCATCCTGTCCGAAAATTCGTCGCTTCATTTGTCCGCGAATTCCACTTTAGACTTTCATAAGTCGGAAAAAAAAAAAAACCAAAATTTAAGTGAAACACAGCTCTCTCACAGTTCGCATGATATTTTTAACAATGTCACCAAGAGGAATGCGTTAAATTTCTTAGGTTTGCGTAATAAAAAAGAAAATGCTGATAATTTCCAGGGGAAAAATAATGAACGAGAAAAGGGCACTCGCGATGCACATGTGAAAAGTGTCAACCATGAGGTGGTTCATACCCCTGGAGTAAATACCCAAGGTTTAAAATGTGAAAATGGAGAGTGCATACCAAATGGGGTGTCACCATGTACGGTGGAGTTTCCGCCTCCAAATGAGGGTGACAACAGTTGGAACAATGCGCTCGGTGAGGATGGCGCTAGTACACCCCTTAGCAGGGGAAACGATGCAAGAGAAAACAAAGACAGCAGCCATTTTTACTGCTTGAAACAAATTATTCACAACAATTTAAATAATAACTACGACAAAAGTGAGGTGAAGATTTTCAACATTTATCATGATAACAGGGCAGAGTGTTTATTTAATGATGCAAGTGTAATAAAATTTTACGGACATGAAAATGTATGCATATATGAAAATAGAAGCTACATATGTGCGAAAATAGAAGCGAACTTGTTCCATCAAAATGGGGAAACAGAAAAGGAAAAAGAAGACAGTTTTGACGCAGATAGGGACATTTATGAATATTTATACAAGGAAAAAATGAAACTGAACAGTGATAATGGCAAAGACAAGGGGAATTATCTTCAGAATGGAATAATAACTAAATGTGGCGATTGTCACGAGCAAGTGCAACAGTGTTTCCAATTTTATATGCACAAGTATCCACCTTTCTTGAGGGAAAAAATAAAAATATTCATACATTTATATAACATGTTTAGCATATACCCCTACATCAATCACAAATTTGTTGAAGAAGAAATATACTCGAAAAATTTAAAAATTTCCTCGTCCTTTGAAAAAATTGTGCACATAAAATGGCGTTTTTATCCTGAACAAGAATTAAGAGAAATGCTAAGTGGCGCTGTGCTAAATAAAAAAAGGGAATACTCTCTGCAGGAAAGTTTTCTCCAAGTGGACGATTACATCGGCGTCAATTTTTTAACGCAACAAGTGAAAGTGCGCGACGCGGGTCTCCCACACGATGGTGATGACGGAAATAGTAACTCCAACTACATACTTCTAAACGGCAACGGGCTGTCCTTTTCTTCCTACTACCATTTAATCGTCCCGTACCACAGGCACATTAACAAAAGCGAAAAGGAGGTGGACAAAAAGAATAGTGACTACAATTTAAGTTATGAATACGTTTACCTTTCGCAGCTATTTAACATTTACGATAATTTTCACGTGTGCTTTTTGTATCCCTTATTTGTCTCATACTTTTTTTATTACCACTTATTTTTCAAGAGGGATAGCTGCACGAGTGCAGCTCCTCCTCCGACGCTTCCATCTTCAACAGCATTAGCTGTCTCAGAAAAGAAGGGTGCGAAAGAAGGGGCCTATAACAGCACCTGCGAGGAGGCCTATGCAAACCAGATAGACGACATATATGCCAAATTGACAAATTGTGTGAAGGAAACCATTTCGAATACGCAAAGTGCGAATTTCAAGATAAAGGACGGTATCATTGAATTTTTAGTTCCACAGAGTTGTTACAAAAATTGTGAAGAACCGGAGTTTCTGGCGGACAAATCGCACCACCTACCCCTGCTATACGTCGTATGCATAAGTAAGCACGGCGTGGGCAACAGCTTGGGGGGTGTTAATTATGTCCTCCACCATAGTGGTAGCGATAATAGCGAGCGCAGAACAAGTGTAGAAAACAATCTGATTACCTTCCCCCCGAACTCCGCAAGCGTAAACAGCTACCACGCGTATGGTCATACACACCCCATCCACACCAGGGGGGTTTATTCCAGTGAGGAGGACCTTCATAAAACAAAGGCAGACGAAGAGCAGTGGGCGTGCGAATCGCGCGATAACAATGTATACTGCAATGAAGTTAAAGAATTCAATAACTTGCGAACAATTTTCCCGGAACGTATGAAACAGTATTTTAACACATGCAACAAAATTGATAACATCATAAAAGTTAGCGTAAGGAATGATGGTGTGTGTTTTCTGTATGTAAGGAACATCTTCAGTGAGTATATTTTCTTTTCATATTTCATCCTATTTAACGCTTTTGAAAATCTTGTTCACTTGATGAATAGGGGGAAGGACGGCGGAACTCATGGGGGGCAACGCTGGGCAAGGCTTCATCAAAATGGTCAAACTACGAGGGGTCACATAGCAAGTGGAGACCTACTCAATATGGAGCCTACTCATCAGCGCGGCAATTTTTATAACAACATTTTGGAGAACTCACCCCCCTGGTATCATCCAAACTTGGGACGGCGCGAAGGCGAAGTAGTCACCTTTGCAAACATCGAGCACACATTCGAAATGAGCAACATAAACAACAGTTACAACGACTTTTACATTTGCGAAAATAAAAAAATGAACACCTTTAAGCTGATTAACATAATGAATCAGGAAAAAGAAAAAATATTAACGGCGTACTATTTCGAGAACAAGGAATTAACGCCGATTTTTTTTTTACGATTGTCCAACATACATATTTATGATATAAACAAACAACTGAATTCAGTTTTTGAATATATAAATTACAATAACAAAACTTTTACCCCTTTTTTAGAAAAGTACGCAAAATACGAAATGAATGTTCAGCTGGATTTGCTAGAAAATATGTATAACATTAACAACGAATTGTATTTGCTGTATACAAAAAAAATTAATTACTCTCACGATATTTACAAATATAATTACCTATACGTACAGGATTATTTATTAAAAAATTACATCCTATATTACAATATTTATTTTCGGGTACGTGAGGAAATGAAAAAGAATGAATACTACAAGCTCAAATACACCAACAGGAATAAGCAGACCATATCAGTCCACTTCACCGTTTCGTTTAATTATGTCTATGATAGGGTGAATTCTCATTTTGAGCTGAAACCAACTCATTATATAACCCACCTCGAGTCTGACTACCCCCACGAACAAATCGATGCCGAAAATTACATTGCGTTTATTAGCAAGTATGTGCACAGCAAATACGTAATGTGATGCACGGCTGCCACACCGGCACGTGTGTGCCTTTTTTGCAAGTTCACATTTCGTGAAGGGGGACTTCGAGAGGCACTCCCGTTGGGCTTTACGCGGCATCCACAGCGGCATCCACAGAGGCTTCCACAGCGGCTGTATGGGAACTCCAGGTGCGTTAATTTTTTTTTTTTCCTCACAACGGGGGAAACAAATTGGCCGCCATGTTGCGTAGCCTTTATGACTATAACGTAAGTAATTACAATCATTATTTTTTTTTTCGTGTCTGTCAAAAAAGGGGCCAAGATTAACAACTCACACGCAGCGTGGGCACCCATTCCTTCTCTTACAAATGTGCTATAATAATAATGTCTACCTTGCGCTACTTGCAAATATGTACCCGATTCTGTCGTAAAATGAAAATGTCCGTTTATTCATCGTTCCGGCCACGAAGGGCTCATTTTTGTAATTTCTCTTTTTAAGCTAAAGTGGCTGCATGCGTTTGGCATACATTTGACGTGCGTTCCAGACTTCTTAACTTTTTAATCGTTAATTTTGAATTTTTAAGTATAACCATGTTTTCGTGTCCTGCTGAAGAAATTGCTGATTCGCTTGGGACTCTTCTCGCCAGCCGTTGTTCCCTTTGAGTGCCAACTAAGCGTCAAAAGATACACATCGGATATGTACACTCCCCGGTTTTGCAAAATTGTTTCATTATCTCAAGGCTACATGTGACATGCGGTGGGTTATTCTATGGTGTGCATCATACCTTGCACGATGACCACAATGCCATAACACTTTAGGCGGCAAATGGCCCCCTGCGCAGCACACCTTTCGTATTTGCCTTTTAGGGCGTGGGTATTTTACATCCTACGTGTGATATGAGTTCACCCCCCTTATGATATAAACGCCGCCCTTTGGGGAAAAGCTATACAGGAGGTGCGTGATTCGCCCCGCAGTAATAATGTGTTGCGAATGTGAAATGGGATCAGCCTCATATGCGAGCATATCACTGGATAGCTTCGCATCGTTCGATCTGATTTTGTGTCTACAATTTGTGTGTCTTTTTTTTTTTTTTTTTCAAACTTTTCCTACCTTTTTTACAATCGTTAGGGGTGATATATAATTCTTCTTTCTCGTGCACTTTTTACTTATATGGTACGGCAAAAAATATTGGTAAAACGTTTTAAGATATTTACTGTTTAACTGTCCCTTTTTTACAAATTGCAAGAAGCGGTGTTTAATCCAAAAGTACATTTTTTTTTCCTTCTTCATTTTCTGCTTTTTGATAAAATTGTGTCGCACCACTTGGCATAACTGCAGGTTTGTGCTTCTCCATTTGGCTCCATAAGAACATTGCAGTATATTTCTACACTTTGCTGAATGGATGCTCTTCTTCTGCCTCTTCCTCCTCCGTGGCCTTTCGGCATCCCCGTCCGGATGACCACCACTGCGGGTGTGGCTCCCAACGAGATTGTCCCTTCTAACAGGAGTACCCCTCTCAACAAGGGTACCCGTGCTCTGCTGGATGCCCCCGTTGCGGCGCCATCTTGTGACGCCCAGGAGAAAAAGGTTCACATTTTTCGGATCCGTCAACTCACTGCGCCTCCAACATATAATATCGTACACGTGTGTGTAGGCCACCTGGGTGAGCTGTGTTTCCTCATGTTTCGACTGTGTCAGGAGGTACAAAATCAAACATAAATGCTTCATATCGCTTGATGGCTTAAAATATTTGTGTATCTCTTTACAGATGGCTGATATTATTTTATGAGATTGTTTAAACTCATTTAGGAAGTCAACAATGTTGCAAATGTCCACATCGTTAAGGTGATTGTACTGCTGGAGTTTGTCAAAAATGTCAAGGATAATTGGTAGGCACTTTTGTAAAAGTTGTTTTTTCTTCTGCATGAGAAGTATCTGATTGTCCTGTGCGAGGTACTCCATTCGGACATTATCTTCTGCCCTGTTGAAATGGACCTCTTTTTTTAGCCTCCTTTTATACAAAGAAATGCACGAAATTAGAAACGTGAAATTTTTTATAAAATAATTTATATTATTTTCCCGACGTATCATTTTTATTATATCGTGGAAAAATATTCTTTCGTACATGTCGTTGAAGGCGTTTTTATTGTTCAAAATGACAGATAAAATTTTGATTACATATTCGTAAAAAAAAGATTTGTCCCTTGTTTCAGGGCCATCTGCACACTTTACTATTTCGCAGAGCACTTGCTGATAAAATCTGCCATTTTGTGTTATCTTTTTGTGAAATGCAGGGGATTTTAAAAACTCCAGCGTTAATTTTAAAAATAAGTTTTTATTTATATTGTTATAAATCGAAATGTAGCAGTAAAATAGTTTGTCCACCTGATAATTGGTGGACATGTTTTCATTGCTTCTTTGGCCAGCCACATTGGGACCCTCCCTTTGCTGCAATTTGTGCACACATTTTAGCAGCCTGAAAACCGTTGCTCCTATGTCGTAGGCGTAAAAATTTCCATCCATTCGTTCGTGACATAAATTGGCGGTATGGTTCAACGGTGTCCATAAATTTAGGTCTTTCTCTTTGTAGTGCCTTTTCTCTTTGGTGCTACTCGGCGCTGTGTTCGTGTGGGTGTGTTGGAAGTACGTCCTTCCTGTGTCTATGTTCGGGTTTGTCCTCATCATTTTACTCCTTTCAGATTTGGCCGCTACATCCAAGTGGCGTCTCAGCAACCGGAAGTGTCCAATACACGCGTAGTGCATGTGCCTCCTGAGGTGTGCGTATGGATGTATTTAAATACCTAAGCGTATTCCTGCGCGCTAGCAGTATGATTTGCCCCATCGTTATCTACCCTGGCTGATGGTGAATTTAAGATGCTTTCCCTTTCCTTCCCCCAATACGACCTCATAAAAGTGGATGAAACTGCAAAAAAAAAAAAAACATTTCCACCTCTGTTCTCACGTGTTAGTTTGTCATATGTCCCTTTACACGTAAAACTGGAGTGAAAAATAAACAATGAAGTAGCAGAAAAAGCGGGAGGAAAAGCTGTTCCACATAGTTTTTTTTTTTTTTGTTCACCCTCCCCCGCTTCATTCGAATGGGCGCAACGTTACATATACCCCTGCGAGATTGCAGAGGTTTTGGCGAAAAATTCCAAATTTTCGTAAAATTGCGCCAAAAAAAATCCCACATTTGTATGCCTATGTATATATGTTTATGTGCAGGAGGGACGGCTTGGCTCCCGCGCGCACATTAAAGTGCCACTCCCAGCTAGATTACCCTACTTGCCTTCGTACTGCTTAAAATGGCATTTTAGCAGAACTGCAAAGCGCGCGAAAAACCAGTAGTTTGCCCATTTGGTTTTGGCCGACCCGTCCTCGTAAAAATGCCACAATGATTTTTGCGAGAGTATTCTTCCTTCTGGCATTCCTCGTGTACAGCGTATCTACCTTTGTGAAGCACAACCTTCCCGATAGGAACTATGTAAGCACAGCTAAGCTTCAGAAAGGAGAGCAGCCAAGTTGTCCCTAGGAACAGCGCCAATGAGGGCAGTTGTCTTGCTGCACAGCAAGCCGGTTGAAGGGGAAGAAACGAAACGATAAATATGCAACCAAGCCCTTGTGCAACACCGCCATTTTGCAACGGAGCCACTGTGCCGAAGCGCTGATCCGATAATGATCGAATGCTTTCCCCTTTGCGCCCCACTTCTTCAGATATACACGAAGACAGACCGGTTCAGGAAAAAAAGGAAAAAAATCAACTACAGGCTGCGTAAGAGCAAAGATGAAGACATCGAGAGTTGCATTCCGCACATATACAAGGACATCGCGCCCTCCCTGAAGGGTCTAGCGGATGAGGTATTCATACATATGTGTATGCACTTATGCATATGCGGCTTTTTATCTATTTCTCCAATTCACCCTGTCGTTGTTTAAACATGCATCGTAGAAGGGACCCACATGAAGTTGCCTCTTCACTGATGCGATTCGCGCCAAAGTGATTGGTTCCCCTGGGGGCATATTCATCTGCAGAAGCACACATACCACCTTTGCTACTCTGTATGCCACCACCACCCCCCACCCCTGTAGGAGTACTCATACAAACAACTGCTACGTGCATATTTCCCCGAGACGGTCGAAAGAGAAATAGAAAAAAAAAAGGAAAAGGAATTGAAACAAAAGAATGAAGAGAGGGGGACATGTAAAAGTAATTCGGAGAAGAAAGTTGTGAAGGATGTTGAAAAGGACATGGTAGAAAAGCTACGACAAAATGACATAATAAATTTTGAACATATAAGTAAAATAAGTGATCAAAAGAAAAAGAATAAAATTTTGGATATCGCATATGATAGTATTGAAGATTCCCTGAGAGATATTTACGTCCGTATGAAGGCAGGTGTGAACGACGAGGAAGAAGACAAAAAAGATTACCTAGAAATTGCAAAAAGGGAAAAGGACATGTTGTACGAAAAGCTGATATGTGGTTATTCCCCTCTTAATAATAGCAGCACGTTCGATTTGTTCGGCGTTTTCTACGATAGTAAGGACTATGAGGACGGAAAGAAACTTTTGGCAGAGATGAACAAAATGTTAAATTTGGAGCCGCTTAAAAGCAACAGGGGGAACATACTTCAAACCGTTGACGCGCTTTTAAAGAAGAACGAACTGCCCCCGCATATAAGAAATTTTTTGGTCAAGTATAGGCACCTTGCTGAGAAGGCTTCCTTCGCACAGGAAGACAGGAGCCCCATAGGTGTTCCTCCGGAAGGAGGAAAGGACGCGCTTCGAGGTGATAACGCCCACGATACGGAGAGGGAACAGCATTGTGCGCAGGGGGGGGAAAGCAAGAATGAGGAACAGCTCGAATTGGGCGATCCAAACAAGGCGGCTGAGGCGGACAAAGAAGCCGAGGCGGGAGAGGAACTAAGCAAGGAAGAATACCTCAAGGACGTTAACAAAGTTATTATGACCTTGCACAACAATTTGAATGACGAAACATTAATGAGAAGGGATCAATATTTTGTCGACGAGCTATACGACGCTTATAAAAAGTACCTACGGACTATGCACGTAAAGCGAAACAAATTGGAACCCCAGAAAAACAACTACGACTTTTTAACCTTTTTCCATGAGCATTACGAAGAGTACTTTTTTTTTAAGTATGGAAATTTCGACTACGATTTTAAGGACAGGGTGCAGAAAGTTAAGAGCAAGATGGAGAGTGAAAAAGGTTTCACTAAGGCTGAACACGCTACTCAGTTGAGCCAGCATGTGGGAAGAGGACCCCCAGTGGAGAATCACCTCATCGGAGGAGATAAACCAAGTGGTGTAGATACGTGGGTTAAAACTGTGGTTGACGCTGCTCAGAGCAGGTACAATGAAGAGAAAGGGACAAGGGTCGGAGGAGGGAAAGATCCAAACGAGCAGTGTTCCATCCTGAAAGGCATAAAGGAAAATAAAAAACTGAGAAAACATATACTTTTGGATATAATTCAGAATTACCAAAAAAGGATGTACGATATTTATAAACCAAATAACGTAATCACAAACGCATACGGGTTTAATAATTATATAGACAATGAACAATATGAAAAAGAAATTAACGCTTCATTTAACAAGTATAGCATAGTAAACTACGACAGTAAGGATGACTTAAAGAAGGTGGAGAAATTATATGTAGGGAAATTAATATTTGGGAAAATTTTTAAAATCGAAAAAACGTATGCATATGTTGATATAAATTACGCATTTTACGCGGAATTACACCAAGATCAAATGCCCTATAATATTAAGAACATAAAAGATGTCTTTAAAGTGAATGACAAATTGATATTTGAAATATATAAAATGTACCCAGAGAAAATTTTACTGACTCTGAAAAATATACAAAAGGTTAATGACCTTAATAAGATTTTACATTACAAAACGCAGGACATGCCCTTCGATGTCAAAGTTGTAACAATTTTAAAAAATGGAATAAGCGTTTCTTATAATGATATTTACGCATTCATCCACATTTCTGCTTTGTCCAGTAAGTATAAAACCAAAATGGAAGAAAATGAAAAAATCCAGGAATCGTTACTTAACCAAAAAATTAAGGTCATATGTACAGATATGAGCAAATTAAATTTCTCCAATCTAATATATGAGCAAAATGAGCAACTAAAAAAATTGAATATTTACGATATTGTCCATGTAGAAATTATACACATTTCGAAATACGGCCTGATGGTAAAATGCGACGATATAGTTGGACTGATACACATATCCGAGATTTCCAAAAAAAAAATTGACGACTTGAATGAGGTTTTCAAAATAGGGGACCAATTAAAAGGCATCTTAATAAACATAGACTATGACAACAAAAGATTTTCCTTGTCGACCAAAATTTTGGAAACGGAGGGCCAAAATTTTATTGACAACAGGGCCCAGATATATGACAATATGGAATACATTTTGGACGACATTAAGAAGAGGAACACCTCCTTGCGAATTAACGACTCCAATATTAAGAACCAGTTGCTTTCCCTCATTGATATTTACAAAACGGAGGAGGGCGACTCGAAGCGCGATGTCCAGGCTGGCACCGCCCCCGCTGCCCGTGAGGATGCCAACTGGGGTGAAATGGATCGGGGTGAAATGGATCGGGGTGAAATGGATCGGAGTGAAATAGACCAGGGCGAAATAGACCGGGGTAGAAAAGACCGAAGCGAAACCCATCGCAGCGAAGCGGTTACCAAAGAGGTGAATGACCCTGGACATGGTACAGAGAAACCTGCCGCAGAAAAGGGGGACCCGGACCAAGCGACCGCATCCCCTGCCATGGATCTACGCGCAGAAAGAGATCAACTAAAACGTGCAGACAGGGATAACATAGAAACGGAAACAGAGCTCTTTAGTGACGACCCCGATGAAGCGGAAGAGAAGGGAAAGGAACTTACCATCGACATAAACAACCAGTTACTTCCCTACCTGATGTTGAAGCAGGATGAGATCGCCAAGGCGGAGGAGGAAAGTGCCTTGGAAAAACCCAGGTACAATACGGTTACGCGGATCACGCCGCGCATGCATAAGGGCATGTGTTCATTTGGTCGCGTCAAACATTGGGGCGAATTGGCCAAACATACAGACGAGTGGTACATTTTTTTCTTTTTTTTTTTTTTTTACAACTCGCAGAGAGATAATTTGGAACCTGGAGGATGAAGAATTTCTCAACTCCAACTCCCCAACGGAAAGTACCCAATGTAAGCACGAAAAAAACGGACGTAAAAATATGCCTCATCGTATATGTGATGTGTACGGGCATGTGCGCCTATTGAGCTTCCATTAGGAGTTTCCCTCCGCGAGGCACAAGGGCGCAGTCACACCCGTTTGATATTTCCCCCCTTTGCAGTTTTCGAATATCAGTGGTCCTACTTTAAGGACAAGAAATGGGTCAACTTCCCCTATTACGTGAACAGAATTATGAATTACTATTTTAACATTAACGATGACTTCTTTACGTACAAGGAGAAGAAGTAAGTTGGGGGGAAATAAACCACGCGTCCCCGGACATGTGGGAGAGCGTTCCCACAGAAACGTGAACACAGTCGGTTTATTCCTATTACACTGTTTCACCAATTCTATAACTCCCCCCTTTTTTTTACTCCCTCCTCGTAGCGTGGTGTACGAAATCGATTTTGTGAAAAGTGTAAGAATCGATTTGGCCACAGGGCTTCAAAACAGGATTAGAAAAATCACCAAGTAGAGAAGCAGCCACGGAAACAGTTTAACAAAAAAAAAGAAAAAAAGAAAAAAAAGAATATGCAAAATTTAAATGTTCATTTTAAGGGGTTGCCACATTATTCGGT